CAGCTACGTCGTCGCCGTTCCGTGTGACACGCAGGATTTGCGTGTCACGTCTACGCGACACGCAAATCCTGCGTGTCGCGTCGCCCGGCCGCCCCGAAGCGTTCCGGGTGACACGCAGGATTTGCGTGTCACGTTTACTTACGCGACGCCGCCCCGAGCGCGTTCCGTGTGACGTGACACGCAGGATTTGCGTGTCGCGTAGACGTGACACGCAAATCCTGCGTGTCACGTCAGTCTGAAGCCTCAAGGCCGCCGAGTGACTGACACGCAGGCTTCGCGTGTCGCGCAGACGCGAACGCCTCCGTGACACGCAAATTCTGCGTGTCACGCGGCCAGGAGCGCCGAGGAGTGCCGAGGAGTGCCGAGGAATGCACCCAGAGGAGTGCCCGAGGAGGTGCCGAGGATTGCCCGGAGGAGTGCCACCAGAGTGCCGAGGAGCGCCTGATTCTGCATGTCCCGGCCCTGGCCCCCGGCCTCTGGACCTCCGGGAGCGCCACGGTTCCCGGCCCTTGGCCCCCTCCTGGTGGGGCCCGCGTGACACGCAGATTCTGCGTGTCCCGACCCTGGCCCCCAGGACCCCCGGTGTGCCCCGCGCAGATTTTGCGTGACCGCCCCCCTGGTGGGGCCCGCGTGACACGCTGATTCTGCGTGTCCCCACCCCGGCCCCCGGGACCCCTGGCGTGCGACACGCAGATTTTGCGTGACCGCCCCCCTGGTGGGGCCCGCGTGACATGCAGATTCTGCGTGTCCCCACCCCGGCCCCCAGGACCCCCGGCGTGCGACACGCAGATTTTGGGTCCGCGTGACACGCAGATTCTGCGTGTCCCGCCCAGGCGCGCTCCGGGGTGACACCCCGCGGTTTGCGTGTCCTTGTGCGGGACACGCTAGGAAAATGCGTGTCACGTGCGACGCGTAGCCCGATCGAAGATGCGCGCCCCAGATCCTGACTCGGGCGCGCGCGTCGAATTGCACTTGCCCAGGGTCCCCTCCGTGCCTAACCAGAGCAGCGTATCATTTCTATTCCCGTCATTATTCGCAAATCCGGCACGAATAGAAATGAAGCGCCGCCGAAGGGGCGACGGAAGGCCTCGTGCAGCATCACGAGAAAGAAAAATGAGCACTCGTACCCTCTTTTCTGCTCCCATTCATTTTCTCTCCAACTCCTCCTCCTCGCTCCTCCTCCTCTTCTCCTCCTCCTCCTCCTCAGCAACAGCATGCATCAGCATCAGCATCGGCATCATCAGCATCAACATCATCATCATCATATCATCATCATCATCATCATCATCATCACATCATCATCAGCATCATCATCAGCATCATCACCACCATAATCATCATCCTCATCATCATCATCATCATCATCATCATCATCATCATCATCATCATCATCATCATCATCATCATCATCATCAGAAGCAGCAGCATCATCATCAACATCGTCATCATCATCAGCATCATCATCATCATCAGCAGCATCACCCTCATCATCCTCATCATCCTCATCCACGTCCTCATAATCATCTTAATAAGCATCAGCATCAGCATCATCATAAGCATCACCATCAACATCATCATCAGCAGCATCATCATCAGCATCATCATCAGCATCAGCATCACCGTCATTATCAGCATCATCATCCTCATCATAATCATCATCAACTATTATCATCATCATCCTCATCCTCATCCTCAACATCATCATCATCAGCATCATCATCATCATCATCAACAACAACATCGCCATCGTCATCATCATCACCACCGCCACCACCACCCACCACCACCACCATCATCATCATCATCAGCATCATCATCAGCAGCAGCAGGATCATCGTCCTCATCATCAGCATCATCATCACCACAATCATCACCCTCTCCGTCGCCCTCCCCCTCCACCTCCTCCTCCTCGTCCCCCATCTCCTCCTCTTCGTCGTCGTCATTAGCATGATCATGATCATGATCATCATCAGCATCATCAGCACCATCCGCATCCTCCTCCGCATCCTCGTCCTCATCGTCATCATCAGCATCATCATCATCATCATCATCACCATCATCATCATACCCTGCTCCTTATCCCTGTTCCTCTCGCCCCATTAATCAACATCTTCTTCCTACTCATTCTGCTCCTGATGAGTATCCCCTCTTCCTCCTAGTCCTCACGGACTCGTCCTTTCCATGCTCTCCTCCTCCTGCTCCTCCTCCTCCTCATCCTCTTCCTCCTTTTCCTCTCCCTCCTCCTCCTCGTCCCCATGTTACACTTCATCCCTGCCTTGCTTGATCAGGATGCCGCCTTGACTCACTCGATGTTGACAGGGAGACATAATGCTTTCGAATTTGATTTTCTCTTCGGGAGAGGCGTTCAGTCGCCGAATTCCCGGTGCCCCGTTCTCCGCTTCCGGTTCCCTGGTCCTGGGTCCCGGATTGCAGATCCCAGCTCCCAATTCACGATTCCTGGTCCCAGGTTGCCCAATTCCAAGCTCCCAGGTCCCAAATTTCGACTCCCCACTCCCAACTCCCAAAATCCGGCTTCCCAATTCTCGGCTCCCGCTTCCTGGATCCCGGCTCCCAAATACCAGCTCCAGGAGCTCGTTTAATCATTTTTGGCGATAATGGGCATTTTCGGAGGGGGAGGAGGTGACGGGGAGGGGGTGTGATGTAACGCCACCCCCCGCCGTGTGGCTTCCGCACCACGGCCGCGCCCGCGCGCACGACGACGATGAGCGACGAGCGCCGAGCGACGAGCGACGACCGACGACGACGACGACGCGAGCAACATGTAGGTGGCGCCTGCCCCACAGCGCCTATGTACACCACAATGCTCGCGTGCACCACACCGCGCGTGTAAACCACAGCGCCTGCGTACACCGCAACAGCCGTGTGCGACGCAGCGCCTGTGTACACCACAGTGCTTGCGTGCACCACAGCGCTGGTGTACACCATAGCGAATGTGTAACACATCAGCAAACATGTGCAACACAGCGCCTGTGTACACCACAATGCTTGTGTGCACCGCAGCGCCTGGGCACACCACAGCGCCTGTCCACACCACAACATCCGCGTGCGCGCAGCGCCCGTGTACACCATAGTGCCTGCGTGCACAGGACAGGTAGAACGAGCATGTCGGTGAGGATCTGCTGCGGACAACTAAGCGCAACGCCAGGGAAGTGCTGATAATAGAAGGCGACGTTCTTCTCTCCTCCCTTCTCCGCCACCTCCTCCTCCTCCTCCTCCGAGGGGGAGGAGAAGGAGGAGGAGGAGAAGGAGGACAAAGAGGAGGCGGAGAGGGAGGAGCAGAAAGAAGAGAAGAGTTTTTACCCAGAACACAAAACCACAATTTCGAATCCCTATATGCGGATCCCAGTGCGGGTCCTCATGCGAATCCCTATGCGGATCCCAAGGCGAATCCCTATGCGGATCCATGCGCGGATCCCTATGCGGATGACTATGCGGATCCCGATGCGGATCCCGATGCGGATGCCTATGCGGATGCCCATGCGCAATGCCATGCGAATCCCTTCCCTGTGCGGCTCCTTACGCGGATCCCTATGCAGATCCCTATGCAGATGCGCATGTGCATGCCTATGCGGATCCCCACGAGATTCCCAATGCGGACCAAGCTCCTACACGGATTCCTACGCGGACGCCGATGCGGATCCCGATGCGCACGGCGGCAGTGCCCAGAGCGCACTGCGGGGGGGGGGGGGGGGGGGGCGTTGCATGAATAATTAGAGGGGGGGCCGGGGCTATAAAGCCACTCGGCTGACACAAAACAAGAAAGAAACACGCTCCAGTTTCCGGTTCCGGCTCTCCCGGTTCCAAACTCCCATGTAGGTCCTGGTCCCCGGTTCCCGGTTCCAAGACCCGACTCCCAGGTCCCAGGCCTGGGTCCCCCAGTTGCTGGCCACTTGCAGGTTGCCGTCTGCCGACTGGCGGATTTCTTGGTTCGGGTCCCGGGTCCCGGCGGCCCCTGGCTCACTGCAGATCTCGGCTCCGGGAGCTCCCGGCTCCCAGCTCCTGGCCCCTGGCCCCCGGTTCCCGCTTGATGCCCGGCTCCCCGGTCCCAGCTCCGTTTCCCAGCTCCCTCCACCACAGTCGAGACTCATCAGTATGTCGACCCTGCCAAAGCGAGGGTATCCTTGTGGGTTGAGTTCGGCGACCCATGCCTTCTTACATTCCTACGGCAATGTGGACCTCGGAAGGGTTTTGTGTACTCTCGCGTAGGAGGAAGGGGAGGAGGACGAGGAAATCCAAGATGCATCAACGAGAAGACCGACGGCAAGCAGCCCGTGGCCACACTGTGCGTCAGAAGAGCAGAGAGTTGAGCCATGAGGAGGGCTCTGCACCGAAGCATGGGAACACGCGGAGCAGCGCGCATTGTAGCTCAAGAGGGCTACGCGTGCTGGCAGACATTATGCTGCTTGCAGAACGCACGAAACACGGGGGAGAAGGGGGGAAGATGGATAACAAAAGAGGAAAGGGGAGGAGGGAAGGGAGGAGGGAAGGGAGGGGAAGGGAATAGGAAAAAGGGAACATTGAATAATGAGGGAGAAACACAAGAGGCAAGAGGGGGGGGACACCTGGGGCATCCTACCTGGCCGTCATCAGCAGAGGAGGCCTGCAGCGACACCAGGTACGGCGACTCGCAGACTTGGGTCATGATCTGCCCACGCAAGCGTGCGCCAGGCGGACGCGGGGACCCCACCATGGGCCAATCCTCCTCCCCCTTTCCCATCTCTCTCTCTCTCTCTCTCTTTCTCTCTCTCTCTCTCTCTGTCGTTCTCTCTCTCTCTCTCTGTCTCGTTCTCTCTTTCTCTCTCTCTCTCTCTCTCTCTCTCTCTCTCTATATATATATATATGTGTCTCTCTTTTTGTTTGTTCTCTCTCTCTCTCTCGTTCTCTCTCTCTCTCTCTCTCTCTCCCTCTCCTTATCTCTCTCTCTCTCTCTCTCTCTGTATCTCTATATCTCCCATTATCTATATATTTCTCTGTTTCTGTGTTTTCTTTCTCTTTCTCTCTCTCTCTCTCTCTCGTTCATTCTCTGCTGCTGACTCCTCAAGCCCTTGCGCCCTGCCCGCTTGCTGTGCCAATTCCTCTCTCTGTCTGTGTTTCTCTGTTTCTCTCTCTCTCTCTCTCTCCCTCTGTCTTTATCTCGTTCTCTCTCCATCTCTCTCTTTCTCTCTCTCTCTTTTTCTCTCTCTCTCGTTCTGGATATTCGCCGGCCCAACGGGCCAGGGCGTGCTAAGATCTCCGGTAACTGGTTAACAGTATTAACAGTATTGAATCGCTTCGCTCATTCCGCCGGCCCGTGATATGGCATCGCTGGTTTTTGTCTGTGTGTTCGTTGCCCATGTTGCGCTCTTGGGGGCGGGTGTCGTTCGTACGCGTTGCGTGGGGAGTTTTGATGGTGAAGCAGTTCCCTGGGGGTCGTCTCTCGATGGGGCGAAATAGAGTCGTCGTCAAGATGCTTCTTTGGGGGGCCTCTGGGTCTGTTGAGAGCCGTTCGGGGGCACATGGGAGAGAATGTTTTTGAACAGGAAGGAGACTACTATAGGCCTCCTGGAGTCTTCTGGGGCCTCTGCGACATCTTGGGCCTCTTTGGAGGCCTCTTGGGGCCTCTTTGGTACCTCCTGGGCGCCCTCTGGGACTAGGTCCCCATTTTAGTGATTCTCGGAATCCCTCCAGAAGTCCCACTGTGGCCCCGAATCTATTTTGGGCCCTCTTGGTCCCCGTCTTGGGCGGCACGTTCAATGTGGCCCGTCTGGAGGGCTCTCTAGGGTCGTGTCCGCCGGCCCACGCCGTCATGGAGCTTCGCGTATGGGCCGTCATGGAAGCGGTGTTGGTGCCCTCTTGGGGGCCGTTTGGAGCGTCCGAAGCCGAAAAAGCCAGAACACAAAAAACATCGAAAAAACCAATGAAAATCAACGATTTTGGCCTCTTGGGGCTCTCTTCGGAGGCCTCTTGGAAGGCTCTTGGGGCGTCTTGGATGCCTCTTGGGCTGTCTTGGGGGCCTTTTGGGCCGTCTTGGGGTCATCTTCGGCGTCTTCGAGCGCTCTTTGGGCGTCTCGGGGGCCTCTTGGGCAGTCTTGGGGGCCTCTTGGGGCACTCTGAGCGCGCTCTGGGGAGCCAGAGAGGCCGCACCCAGAAGGAAAACCATCTCTGAGTAGACTTGGTCGGGCGGCGGTCGGGCGGCGGTCGGGCGGCGGTCGGGTAACAGGTTAACATTATTAACAGTACATTACAAGGATCGCCTCGCGCGGGGGCGGCCCCTGGGGGGGGTCCCCCGGCGAAAAGTATAACCCCGACCAACGCGGCGACAGGCTCCCGACCGCCGCCCGACCGCCGCCCGACCAAGTCTACTCAGAGATGGATTTCCTTCTGGGTGCGGCCTCACAGGCTCCCCAGAGCGCGCTCAGAGTGCCCCAAGAGGCCCCCAAGACTGCCCAAGAGGCCCCCGAGACGCCCAAAGAGCGCTCGAATACGCCGAAGATGACCCCAAGACGGCCCAAAAGGCCCCCAAGACAGCCCAAGAGGCCTCCAAGACGCCCCAAGAGCCTTCCAAGAGGCCTCCGAAGAGAGCCCCAAGAGGCCAAAATCGTTGATTTTCATTGTTTTTCTATGTTTTTTGTGTTCTGGCTTTTTCGGCTTCCGGACGCTCCAAGACGGCCCAAGAGGCCCCCAAGACCGCTACAAGACGGCCCACGAAGCTCCCAAGACGGCGCCGAAACGACCCAAGAGAGCCCTCAAGACGGCCCAAGTGCCGCCCAAGACGGACCAAGAGGCCCCAAGACGGGCCCAAGAGGGACTCAGGAGGGAAACCGAGAACTCAAAAATGGAGCCCTCCGTCCCAGAAGGCGCCCAGGAGGTCCCAAAGAGGCCCCAAGAGGCCTCCAAGAGGCCCCAAGATGTCGCCAAGAGGCCCCAGGAGACTCCCAGGAGGCCCAAAAGAAGCCCCAGAAGGCTTCAAACATGTCTCCCAGGCGCCGCCGAACGGCCTCTCAACAGACCCCAAGAGGCCCCCCAAAGAAGCATCTTGACGACGACTCTATTTCGCCCCATCGAGAGACGACCCCAGGGAACTGCTTCACCATCAAAACTCCCCACGCAACGCGTCCGAACGACACCCGCCCCCAAGAGCGCAACATGGGCAACGAACACACAGACAAAAACCAGCGATGCCATATCACGGGCCGGCGGAATGAGCGAAGCGATTCAATAAACATATGTATCCCTCTTGTATCTCTATCTCTAGGTGTGCATACGTATGTGCTCCTCTATGTGCACACATAGATTTATGTCGGCGGACTAGTTCGGGGCCGCTCGATAAATGAAAAATTGAACAATCTGCAATAATTGAAAATTGATTGAGCCCAAAGTCGAGAATTGAAAATTTCAATTCAGGAATCTCCGAACTGAAATATTGAAAATTGAAAAATTTCAATCCAGGACTTCCAAGGTTGAAAAATTCGCCGGCCCAACGGGCCAGAGGCGTGCTAAGATCTCCGGCAACTGCTTTACAGTGTTTCTACTTCGCGCGCGGGGGGCGGCCCCTGGGGGTCCCCGGAGGAAAAGTACCCCGGCAGGGTCGGGTCAGAGACGGTTTTCCGTCTGGGCGCCGCCCTGGAGACCCTCCAGAGAGCCCCAAGAAGGGTCAAGAGGCCTCCACGAGGCCCCCAAGATGATACAAGAGGTCTCGAAGATGCCACAAGATCGCTCCGAGACGCCTAAGATGGCCCCCAGACGCCCCAAGAGTCCTCCAAGAGCACTCTCAAGAGGGCCCCAAGATGCAGAAATCATTGTTGTTGTTCCTTTTGTTTTGGAAAGATGTTGGTGTTTCCACCTTTTCGGCTTCCCGACGCCCCGAGACGGCCCAAGAGGCCCCCAAGATCGCCCCAAGAGGGCCCAAGACGGCCCAAGAGGCCTCCAAGACGGCCCGAGAGGGCCCCTAGATCGCCCCAAGAGCGGCCCCAGAGGGGGAGCACGAAACAACATTTCGAGCCCTCGGTCCTGAGAGGCCTCCAGGAAGCCCCAAGAGGCCCCTAAGAGGCCCCAAGAGGCCCCCAAGAGCCCTCAAGACGCCCCCAAGAGGCCCCTAAGAGGCTCTAAGAGGCCCCCAAGAGGCCTCTTGGAGGCCCTAAAATGCCCCCAAGAGGCCCCACGGGCCAGCGGAATGAGCGAAGCGATTCAATTAGAAATTGAAATATTCAATCCCGCACTTCCCCGATTGAAAAATTGAACAAACTCTCACGTTTCTCAATGTTTCAATTCCCCGGCCGTCGCCGCCACCACACACGTTGGAATATTGAAAAAGCATGTGTTCTTCAATGTTTCAATGCTCGACTTGGGAAATTCCGGATTGCCCCTTCTATTTCATCCGGGTCAGCCTGTGTGGGGGGCCATAGGGCCCTTTACGAACCGACATCCTCGACCCTTGCTTCCACGCGATGCAGACCCTGAAGGCCGGGGCCCAGGCCGAAATGTGCCCCAGGTGGCCTCGGCGCGGACCCCGAGATCCCAGGGCAAGTCGAAGACTGCTCCAAGAGAGCCCGTTGGACCCCCCCCCCCTGAAAATCCTCAAGGAGGGGGTGGTCACTGGGTCACACACATCTGGCGACCCCCAGGATGCAAGGCTAATTGGTGCAATATATGCGGTGTACACTATGTGGTGCAAGCTAAGTAGTGCGATCTATGTGGTGTAATCTATGTGGTGCAATGTATGTCGTGCAATGCATGCGTTGAAAGCTACGTGGTGATACCTATGGGGTGTAAGCTGTGCGATGCAAGCTACGTGGCGCTATCTATGTGGCGTAAGCTACATGGCGCAAACTACATACGTGGTGCCCATCTACGTGGTGACATTTATGTGATTCAAGATACGTGGTGAAATCGGTGTAAACTACTTGGTGCAATATATGTGGCGCATGGCCTGGACACCGCCGCCGTGCGGCCTCTATACACGAGAAGTAGGCAGCATGGCCCGCTGCTCGTGCGATGGAGTGCAGCTTCCTGTAGACGGCTGGTGGGTGTGCTGGGGTGGCGGTTCAGGCCGCCTAGGAGGAGGAGGAGGAGGAGGAGGAGGAGGAGGAGGAGGAGGAGGAGGAGGAGGACCTCCCCGAGGAGCCAAAATCGTTCAGAAACCCAAGGAACATCTATGATAATAGCCTTCTCGCCTCTGCGCTTCCGATGCGCACTTGGAGGCCTCAAGATGGCCCCAAGATAGCCAGAGAAAGCTCCAAGAGGGGCCAGAGAGGCGCCCAAGACGACCCCGTGAACGCCCAAGATCGCCCCAAGAGCGCCCGAAGAGGGCCCCCAGTGGCGATGTTGAGGGCTCTTGGGGGAAGGGGGGCCTAGATAAGGGACCCCCCCCTGTGATCGATGGCCTCCAAGATGGTCCCAGGAGGCTCTCCAAAGCCCCCCAAAAAAAGCCCCATAGCTCCAAGAAGGAATCCGATGCTCCAAGATAACATCCAACATGGCTCAACACGTTCCTCCCCCTCCTCTTTGACCGCTCTGTTTAACTAGATGCGTCTCTGCTTTTCATTTCCCGTCAACTCTCGTGGGCAGGGCTTCTGAATGGGCTGGCAGGGATTCGCGAAGCGTAAACAATTCTGAAAAAAACAAGCGTTTCTCTCGAGACATCCGCAACAAACGAAAACGTGTACT